GTTGAGTCGTTTTGGCGGAAGTGATGAACTGCAAGCTTTGAATGCTTATATCTTCTAAATGCGAATTTTGTCACTGTTTTGGAGCACACTGCCTTATAGATAACCTTAAGACTAACATATTGATACTAACACCCAAAAAACTTTCATTTTGATTTCATGGGGACTTTAACATTGATTACCCAAAACACATGAAGTACACTTTTGATGTTCTCCAAAAACTTTTCATGAACATTGGTGGGAGCAGCTGTTCTTTGTGTGTTCACGGGCTCCGCAACATGTTACTCTGCAAAAATTTGACTTTTTTTTTGTTTTGTTTTTTTAAATAGCTTTGGGCTTTTTGCACTTAGTTCAACACACTTTTTTGTCATGTTATTACATCTCTTTTTAAAAAAAATGAATGCACTTTGATGCATGTTCTGAACTCTGACTTGTCATATTGAGCTGGGAAATTTTGAATCCGTCATCTGTTTGTCATATGATGTGCTGTTGAGAAAGGAATTTAAATATTTACTGTGCAGTCCCTTGCCAAAATGGTAGGCTTTACAAAACACTTTAGAGTGTCTGTTTGAGACTTCAGATGTTTGCTTATATTTGCATTCTGCAACCCTATAAATTGTCAGTGTATCCGTTTCAGTCTCTGACAGCAAATTGCTTGTAAGAAGTAAGAATAAATTAAAATGTGAATGAAAAAATTTGTCTCAATCATTAAACCATTCTGTAAGGCAGCGGGCTAACAAATATGCGTACGTTTGATTGACTCATCTCATTAAGTTAAAATAACAAATATTTTTCAAGTTGACATGATTTCACTTGTTAAAACAACACAACATTAGTTGACTGGACAAGTAAATAATTATTTTCCATTTCTATTTTCCAGAAAATCCATTATTTTGACTTAGTTTTTTGAAGGTTGATTCTACTTTGAGAGGAAGTTATTTCAATAAGAAATTTATTGTCAAGTTAAATAATTTTAAGGCAGCGGGGTAACAAAGTTTATTAAGTTGACTCAAGAAATTATTTTTTACAGTGCAACTAGGTGCAAATTGAAGTTTAAAAAGAGGCTAATTCAATGTTATGCACACATAATGCACTCAAAATCTTTACACTAAGAAAGAATTTTTATTTTAAAACAGTCATAACCTAATATTTTTCAAATAAACCAGATTGTATCTGATCAGCAACTTCTTATTAATGAGTGAATGTGAAAGAAATTCAAAATGTTACCATGTTATTAACATGTTATTGCAGCATTTGTCCCTTTTTTATTATTAATAATATATATATATGTATTTGTGTGTGTGTGTGTGTGTGTGTGTGTGAGAAACACGTTAAGTTTACTGTGTTTTATGTTTAGTGTTAGAAGAATCAAGAATTTATGGAAGAATCTATAGGAAAATTCTTATTTTAAGCAAACACAATTAATGTAATGATGTTAATTTATTCATATAATTATGATTGTTTGTGCTATTAATATGAGCTATTAATAATAACCATTTTTACCATCTCCAATCAACCCCACTCACACTGTATTCTTAAATCATGTCAAGAAGGCAGCATCATTTATCACAGGAATCCAAATATACTGTAATATCAAGAAATAAAATGTGAAATCTTTCTCTAAATTATGTTTATAACATTTTAACTGAAGGATTATTAATTTATTGATTGATTTCACATAGACAAAATCAGAAACTATGACAGGTTTTGGCCTTTTAATTTCTTTATAATATCAGTGGGTTTGCAGTTATGACCCAGAAATGAACCTTGACCTAACCAAACCTTATAATCAAACATACCAGTTCTCTTTTACTACTTGCATTGCATAAACATAAAATGTTCCAATGCCCAGCAAATAACATATGAATAAGATCTACAGTAAATTATGCAACAAACCTGAGTGCTAAGCCACAGATTAATGTTTAATTGGCAGGTGAATAAGAATCTCTATAGTCATGCAGATGATATTTTAAATGAATCAACCACCTATTTATGAATGTTTTTTTTTTTTATATTTATCTGCATTGGACAATTTGTAAAATGTCTATCTACGGTTTTGCTAAAACTCTTTAATGCTTACATAGGCCTATTACCTTTAAACTTTTGCAACCAGGGCTAAGTTAAGTAGCTGCAGCTGGTCAAATAGTCAGGTTAGTCAACCACAGAATTTGGACATAGGACACATGTCAGCTCTACTACTCAGGAATGTATAATCAAAACAGAGAGATTTGACATTCTCACACTTATTAATCTGTCAGCACAGATCACTCTGTATGTGGTTTTAGTGCCACTGCAATATAACTGCATGCTCAGATCCTATTAAGTGTTCCAATACTCTACTGAAGTGGTTACATAAGGGAGCTGGACTTCAGTCACCTCTGTTCATTCTCAGAAACCAACCTGCATGAACTAAAATGTTCCAATTATTCAGTACGCCACTCTTTTAACTGTTGAAGAATTAGCATGTTTTCCTGCACAAAGTTCAACATCAATATCAGAGGATTCCAGAAATATTTCTGTTTAACTTCTACAACCCCAATTTCCTCAATTTTACATGCTCGGAGAAGAGAAGGATATGCAGATGCTTATAGTCAGTTTTCAATCAAACATGTTGTCATTTTTTCATGACCTGCCATTTGTGAGCATATCATTGTGAGCATGACGTATGATCTCTTCATGCAGTGCTCCTGTATCCCTGGACAATGTATCATGAAGCGTCTGCTTGAAGCCTGTCTGTTATCTCATCCAGATAGCAGAGTGTCCGGGGTCAGAGTTCATGAGATAGACGGCTGGACCTTGTAAAGTCAAAGTTGGTTCAAAATGGATTGACACTTTAAGTGGGTTACAGTTTGATTACAATGGTCCTGGTATAGTAATGAAGAAAAAAAGCCATTAAAATAACTAATTTCTTGATAATAATATTTGAAATAAGAACAGTTAATAATAATAATGTAATCTGAATTAATTTAAATGATGATAATATATTAAAACACCTTCACTGCTTATTAATATAAAAAAAAGAAAAAAAAGAATGTCAACCAAAGTCAAGTGGTGCAATCAACATGCAGAAAACAACATAAAACAAGAAATGTTATAATACAAGGGGTAGGAATACTTATGCTTTGTCATTATTTCATTTTTTTTATATAAAGTTCACAAATCTGTTATAAATTAGTTAAATCTATATAAAAACGTAATTTTTAATATTTTGTCCACATGACATTTTTATAGTCATTACATTTAAATTAAAACTGTAAACAAAACAAAAACCATATGAAACCAATGAAGAGTAATATTTGAAATAAATTAAACTAGATTTTTTTTAAAACAAATCCACTTCTTTATTATGGACAATTTTATTGGTCATTGACCCAATACAAATTAGTATCAGGGTGGAGGTGGATCTATATCTATAAAATATTTTTCAAATGTCTTATCAAATGGTTTTCTAGAAGACTGACACTAAAATGAGATGATGTCAATGCCATTTAAGCAGTCAAAATGCTTTTACTGTATTTTACAATAACTGGTCTGGTTATTGTCTTGATAACTGTTCTAGTGCAGCACCCCCACCCCACCCCTCCCATCTTTGGACATTCCAGAATTGTGCAACACCAGTCAAACACTGGTGTGATCTTTGTGATTTAGTAGCAGATACTGGTACCTGCAATGTTTAATCTGGACGTCATCACACTTCTGACATACCCCAAAAAAGTCATTTTGGTTACTTTGCTGAACCTCCATCAGTTTGTACTTTACGCTCTTGCATTGAGTAATATTTACAATGTACAAATATGGACCGGTCCATTGATTGCCAAGCACACAAACACAATGGTCTTGGAACAGAGACAACACTGTTTACTCTGAGCAAATGTCTTTCCAAATGCAGCCATCCACCACAAAATGAGTCAATCATGTTAAGGAGCATGTAAAGAATTTGAATGCAGACTGTGTTTGGCTTGCAGTAACTCGACACACACTTTGATGCTGATACACACAGCAGCAGAAATCAGAACCAATTGCCACACGGACTTTATCTTAACTATAAGATTTTGAGTTAAGATTCCAGTTGCATAAACTACAATTCCAGTATCAT